AATGTCATTCTAGAGTACCAGGGAACCATTCTCACAGAGTCGAAACTACCAAGAAGAGGAAAGCCACAGCGTGAAGACTGGTCTCGCTTCGGGAAGGAAGACTGCGGGCAACAGTGCGTCAGGTAAGGACGAACGGGGTCAACCTTCCTCGCGCGGAGAAGGACAAGCTCGGTCGGCTCGAGAACGAGAGAGGGAGAGAGCTAGGCACGCGAGAGGAAGAGGGAAAGAGAAAGAGCTCGGGTGCGTGCGTTAGAGGAGTTAGGGCTGCTCCCAGTTGCTTGATAATCATTCATTGATTTTCGAAGTTTCTCTATTGTGTTGTCAAACAATTTAACAGACAATTTCTTGAAGCTCTTTTATATATGATATTGATTCTTAACTTTGGTATATGTACTTTGGTTTCTTGAAACCCTAGTTACCCTATCATGTACACATCTCTGCGTACCCCTTGACGTACGCAAATTTTTTCCAGTTAGGAGACCCTGAAATATGCATATTTTACCTGAGACCCCGCCACAAAATACTTTTCTAGATGCCTTGGCTTATACACACTTGATTTTTGAAGCTCAGGTTTTATCATCATAACCACAATTTGTCATTGGATACAACCCTAGCAAGGGAGAAGGATGCCGATGGGAGAAAAACTCGAGCAAAAACTGTCCTAAAAACACAACAAATAACAAATATATAGGCCTGGGTATACAGGAGTGGGCCCCACTTCAAATAGGTGGGACCATGCACATGGAAGGACCAGTCGGTCATTCTCCAATCTGGATTGAGCTGGTCCTTCTAAGATTCTAAGATAGTCGAAGAGAGATTACTAAGGCTAGATCCTAAACCCTAAGCGGAAGACTAGACCTCACGAAAATTGAGGTCAACATATGTATATAAAAATTGAAATTTAGTTGTTAGATATGAAAATACATATGAATTTTGTGGAATGTATGTAAATCTTCATCTGCAAGAATGCCTATGAGCTGGCTGAGTTAAAGTGACGGGATGACATTCTCTAGTGTGCAAAACATCATGAATTGGATCACTATATTATTATTTAGTTACTACTTATGCTCATGTTTACGCAACATACGAGATCTCTCACTAGAGTTCTATATTTACATATATGCCACCTTTTCTTTTCTTGTATGGTAAGGTGGCATATATGTAACAATTGAAATTTAAGTTTTGGATATGTAAATACATAGGATGTGAATACTCCTAAAAAAATTTTTTTGTTCAGGATTTTAAGAAATTTAATTATTCTTTTACTAGAAAGTAGACTACTATTATTTTTGTTTTACGAAGCATAAATACTGGTATCCCTTACAAAAAAAGTTTTAAAAAAATAATATAAAAACTGTAGCATTTATCGTATAGTTTTATGAAACTTGGTTGTTCTTCTTTATAATGTTTATTCACATTCCCAAAAAAATTAAAAATTTATTTGAATTCATACTGCATTTACCTAAAAGAAAAGAAGTCATTTAATAGAGAGATTAGCCATCTTCATTGATTTCATGGCCATGCTTAACTTTTGTTAATTAACTTGACATGATAACCGTTTGATCTAACGCATGTTGTAATATGAAAATATGTAATATGAAAATATGCAATTGAGTAGAGTGCCAAAATTGTCCCCTTATTTTTTTACATGGGTTCATTTTATTTATTAAGTATATAAAAATATCAAATTAGTCACCGAACTTTTAAAATTATAGCTGAAATAATCCTTCATAAAGACTATTTCTACTCATATTAAAAGATATCAGTTGTTGTGAAAAACGATGGCAATAAAGAAAAAAATCGGATCGAGAAGTTTAATGATACAGATTTTAGCTACTAAAAGATGCAGATAAATGACTATCTCTATGGGAAGAAACTTCATCTTCCGTTATTGGGAAAACGACTATGGATTCCCTGCCAGAGAATCAGACTTGGGAGCTGACAGAACTTCCACCAGGGAAGAAGACATTGCACAACAAGTATATGTATCGGGTGAAGACTGAGTTTGATGACAGTAAGAGGTACAGGGCTATACTTGCTGAAAAAGACTTTCAGTAAAGACAGGATATTGCTCATGCAATGGGAATTGTAAACAAATACAAGAATAACCCAGGAAAGAACTTGGCGGTACAAGTCTATATTGAAGCTGATATGTCAACTAAGGGTGTTACTCTTGAGAACTGAAGTTGTGCTCGACTTCAGTTGATCTTCTAGCATAAAGACAATGAGCTTTGAGTTGTAAAGGTGGAGGATATCACGTTTGAAGAAAATGACGACGCAGCTAGTGGATAATGCAGTCAATGTACCAGTCTCCAAGTGAGAGATTTGTTGTGAATATGGAAACCGGTTCACTGTTCAAATTGACATTTTCTCATGTTTGACAACAAATTGGATTTGATACTCGAAATCAATTGTTCTTAATTCCTTCTATGATTTGTTGCAGAAGAGAAAAATAAATAATTAATGGACTTCATTAATTATTTGATTAATTCTTTAATGGGTCTAATGACATGATGAAAGTAATAAATCGGCATGCTAGCTCCCTTTGTTATCTCTCTTTGGTATTGGTAGCTTTCCAGATTCTTCTGATGTGTTCTGGTTTGAAGCTCTCGTGTAGAGAGAGAAAGATAAAAGGAGAGGAGGAGAGGAGAGAGAAAAAGCTAGAGAGAAAGAGTGCTCTCTTGTAATCGTCGAGGTGATCGACGGGAGTAATTCCTCAAGCTAATAAAATCCTCTGCAACTCCGTGGACGTAGAAAATTTGTCGAACCACGTAAATCTGTGTGTTTCTGCTGTGTTTTCTGTTTTGTGAATTTTTCTCGATCCAATTTTTTGTTTTTTTTCCGTCATTTTTCACAACACCGCTTTATAGACTAAGGACTAAAATGATCTCCTGTAAAGAGTCAATGGACCGTTTCATCGCTTTTCTAATTTGCAATTTGTGCGTAAAATGGCTGAAATTCTACTCGCTTTCTGAAATGATACAATTTGTGAACGCCAGGAGTGACTCTGCTTAGTGTTCACGGATAGTTCTAGCAGATAATGCTTTTCAAGCTTTTTTCTATTTACATAGAATAATGCAGAAAATATTCAACTTTTAAATAATTCTAGAGATTTGGTTTTATCGGTATTTTCTTAGCTACGATTATCTGATAAACATATGATTTACATCCACTTCTCTGATTTCTTATAGGCCCTGCATTGCTGGTTGATGTTCCAAGAGACAGGAATATAACAGGTAGCTTCTACTTGAATTTGTGTTCCTTTGTTATGACATTGAATTTTTTTCTTATGAGAATTTAATGATCACATATTTTTTCAACTTGAATTCAACGGTTAAAAAGTAGTTCCTGCAAAAGTGTCCTTACCTTTGTTCTATTTATAATTCTTTTTGCCTCCATTCTAGAGGTTTGCATTATTTGGTTAAAAATAAAAATCAAACCGAACTGAACAGATTTGGTTGATTTGGCTTGATTTCAAAAATGCATTTCGCTTTTTGGTTTTTAAAACCTCAATATTCGGTTTTTGTTTTTTAGTTCAATTTTAATTTTTCTTCAGCTGTACAAATTGAAAAACAGAAATTTCAAAATTAAATGTTGGATTCATGAAATTTTATGGATATTATACATTTAAAATATGTAATTCTTGTTGTTTTTTATTAACCAATTTCCAACTAACAATTGAATGTTGTTTTGTTCATGATCATACCCGTTAAATCTAATTAAATTTCGGTTCAATTTGTTCAAATTTATTAAAATTTTAATTGATTTGGCTTTCAGAATTCGGATTTTGGTTGCAATCAATTTGACCAATTTGAAAATTGATTCATCCTAACCCAACGAATGCTCACCCCGACTCCATTCACGCTCCTGATTCAATGCAAGCATGGTTGATTTTGCTTCTTATTTTTCTGGTGCATGCAAGTTCAAATAATATTATTTATTAATTTGAAATTGTCAAATACTATTACATAATTATTTTTATTACATTACAGTCATGTATTTCGTTTCATTGCATTTACAGTTATACATATATGAGTAAATTTTTTTCCCATCCTTTTTTTTTCACAATATGTAGTTATATTATAGCGAAAAAATTGAAAAATCTTTTGAATTACATCTGGAAAGATTGCTTTTTGAGGCCTTTTGTCTGTAGAATCAATTGGCCTCTTGTTAAGATTGTTGGAGTTTGTTGAGGGTGTTTGATGAGAACAAAGAGATCCACCATTTTTATCGTGATTATTTTTGCTACTATTATAGTGGAGGCCTGCTGTCATATATTTTACTTTATTCTTCTGGTACAAAGTATGTTATGTAGATGAACTAAATCTTTTTCTTGAAAAGAAGTTGCTTATAGTATAATTCCTACAGCTGAAGCGATGGAGTCCCTACATATTCCAAGAGGAGTTCTACGTGTGCTTTTCAGAACACTGAACACTGACAAGTAAATTATTCTGCCACTTATTTCTTGGATAACATTTTCTAATTAATTCTACTCGGAGAATAACTATTACCATTTTTTAACGTAAGTTTATCTTCTCAGTTAATATTGAGTTTTAGCCAAAATTCTCCTCTGCAACATCGCCACTATGTTTTATTTAATATTCTGATAGATAAAGATTTGAATATCTGTTTTGTTTCAATATTTCGTAGTTTTATTCTAGTTTGTTTGAGACTTGGCGTAGAATGATGCTTGTGTGATTGGGATGCGTTCTGTTTTTAGTTTGGATTTCCTGATTTGATTATTGGAAGATTTGTATACATACCACTCAATTCCTATATATTTACATATTTATCACCTAAACTTCAACTTTTACATGCATACCACCTTAGTAAAATTTAAGTGTTAGACATGTAAATGCATAGGAATTGGTGTGTATGTCACTAATTTTATGTACCTTCATTTTTGTGGAAAAGTGCCATTGGCAAAACTGCTCTTTTGTTTATATTAGTGGTCCTTTTTGTGCTACCTTACATATTTATTTTAATAGATTTGATTCTTTAATGGGTACGGGCTTGATTTTAGCTCAATATGCTAAATATGTTGTAGAAATTAGAATTCTGATCCTCTCTTTACTTATATAATAATTAATATAGTTTCTCATACTTTTTTATTTTATTTTCAATGGATTAATATATTAATATATTGAAGTTTGAGATCCTTTGTTTTCTTGTTATGATTGTAAGATTAGATAATAGTGAAATTTTTGTTTAGTTTTGAAACGTTCATAAAAAATTTTACTAGTTTACTTCAGGGAACTTATGTGGAAGAAAGAGTTTGACACAAGCTATGTTGGGTTTATGAAGGATGGAGCACAATGGCTGGTTGATAACACTGATATTAAACTTGTTGGTGAGTCAAAATACATGTTGATTTCATTGACTTGATTTTTTTACGTCTATGCTAATGTTTTTGTGAAGCAGAAGTTGCCACTAGCGTTTAGTTCATTTCCATGGGCTAGCAGAATCACTTGTTATGGATAAATTTTTAATTTGATTTCTATATTTTTGCTCCAAATTTTTTCTTGCTCCCTCCAATTTGTTGGCCGATAGATGATTTTCTGTCATTAAATTTAACAACAAAAATTTTGAATGTTGGCATAAAATTCAAATTCATATTAGGGGCTATTTGATTTGTTGAAAAGTGAATGCAGTGTAAATGGAATATAGCGTAATTGAACTATATTGTTTTTGAAATCCTTTGAAGTTTTTGGTTTGGTTTAAATTAGATATAGGAATTTATTTTTTTGTGTTTGGTTTAAAGAAGAATGATCAACATAAAATATATTTGTTGAGATTTGTATCTAATGTAGGCATATTTGTAATTAGATGAAGTTTAGAGATTTAGTTGTAAATGTTGTAACTTGTACGGCTCTATATAAACTTCTTGTTAAATAAAATGAAGGAGATTTTTTTAGCAATGATTTCAATTTGGCATCAAAGCTAAACCTAGACGGGATCTACATATGCGTATAGAGACGCGGAGCTCCAATATGCTGCTCTTATTTCAAGAGAAGTTATTTGGAGAGTTATAGAAAAGAAAGGTGTTGATATGACTTATATTCAAGTCATTAAAGATATGTATATTAGGGCTATTGTGTTTGAATAGAAGAATGATTGACCAAGTGTTTTTCTATTTTAGTTTCTATTTTAGTGGATTACATCAAGGATGGGTTTTAAGCCCATATTTTTTGCTTTAGTTTTGGATGCTCTTATTGGACACTTACCGGAGGATGTATCTTATTGTGTGGATAAGACTAGAGAAAGAGTTTAGGAAAAACTTGAATTATGGAGGTCTACATTAGACTCTAAAGGCCTTTATTTAGTAGATTTAAAATTAAATACACGGAATATAGTTCTCTAAAGGCCTTTATTTTAGTAGATTTAAAATTAAATACACGGAATATAGTTTTAGAGTAGTAGATCTAGCGGTAGAGTTGTAACAATGGGGATCAAATCATTAGAAGGTGTGAGCATTTTAGATACCTCGATTCTATTGTTCAAAGTGATGGTGATATAGATGGGGATGTTTTTACTAGAATTCAAGTTGGATTCAAGTTGGATGGTTGAATTCAAGTTGGATGGTTGAAGTGGAGGAATGCATCGGGCCTATTGTGTGATAGAAATGTTCTGATTAGACTTAAAAGGAAAATTTTATAAGATGATGGTGAGACCTACAATGCTTTATGGCGGAGAATCTTAGTCTTTAAAAGAGAAGCATGAAAACAAGTTAAGTGTTGTTGGGATGAAACTGCTTAGGTGGATTAGTGACTTAACATTTAGAGACAAAATGCAAAATAAATGCATCCGTGAAAGGGTTAGTGTAGCTTCAGTGGCATATAAGATTAGGGAGAATCATCTTAGATGGTTTGGTCACATTAAATGCCAACCATCTGATGATCCAGTTAGGAGAGTAGGTGTTTTAGATTCGACTTATGTTAAAAAGGTGGAGGCAGATCTTAATAGACTAGGGCATGTTGTGTATAAAATTATCTAAATTTAATAGAGCTAAATGAAAATATGACACTTAATAGGACACAATGGAGAAATAGCAATCAGGTAGCATGCCCCGCTTAGTGGGATGAAGGCTTGTTGTTGTTGTTGTACCATTTGTAGTGGATATTGTTTCCTCATTTATTATAGCTTCTAGCATAAGATTAGTCTTTCATTCCAATGTTCCATTTTATTTTAATTTATTGTTCGTTTTTAATTTTTGTCTATGGCTTTATCACATGAATAAGAGGCTATTATTATTATTATTATTATTATTTTAACCTTTTGACAATCTCTTCAAATTTAACATTCTTTTCCATGTTTCCCTCAAACATTTCAAGCCCCACTATAAGCTTTCCTTTGGGCCAGCCCCACTATACTATGGTGTGCTTATTTATCGTTTGCTTACACAAATTAATATATAATATAATATCAATTCCAATAGTGCTCTTTGTTTTTTGCTTTCAGTTACAGAATTATGATTTATTACCTTCATATTTTCCATGCAGTGCTTGTATGGTTGATACAGGATTTTGCATGTTTTTCTTTTATTAAATTTGCATGACACTACTTCTATATTTTTTTGTTGTGATTTCTTAAATTTATTGAAGATTTCTTCATTTTCCTGTGTGAATCATGATGAGCTGTTTTCTTCATTTTCCTGCTCATTACCTTTCTTTCTTTCCAAAAATTTCAGGTATTGATTACTTGTCCATTGCTGCATATGATGATCTGATCCCATCTCATCTGGTTTTACTCAAGAACAGGGTATGATTTCAGTTTTACATTTATGCCTTGCGTAATTTTTAAATTTCAGTATGCCTCAGAAAATTTCATCAACAGTCCAGTTTTTAAACAATTTATTATTCTTCGCCAACAATTTTATTTGTTTATTTATTTATTTACTCAGGATATTATCATCGTTGAGGGCTTAAAGTTAGAACATGTTAAGCCTGGTATCTACGATTTGCATTGCCTGCCTCTGAGGTTGCGTGGCGCAGAGGGCTCCCCTATCAGGTGCATTCTAATCAAATCATAACCTGCTTTCTGTAAATATGCTTTTGAATAAAATGGGAATAAAAGATATATATATATACATATAAATTTCTAATACATTTCTGTATGGTTTTTGAATGATCATTATATTTTATATCATTTGGATGACATTAGCTGTAGACTGATTATTGGAGGGTAGGATTTGTAATTATTATTTTTTATTTTTATTATTTCTGTTGAGGGTTGCCTTTTTTTATTAAATTTATTGTTAATAAATGATTTTAAAAAGTTTTTTACATGTCATCTCTTAAGTTCAATTACTTTTCAAATCCTTTTGTGCTGAATTAATTAGTAATTTTGGGTGTTAATTTATACTATATTTATATTTTCTCACTTACCATATTAGTTAATTTTAAAAATATTGAAATTACTATAATGTCTGATCTTATTCAAGTTTTATAATATTACCCTTCTAAATTTTTTTATTATTATTATTTTCTTTCCTACATAATGTCTTAGATGAAGCATAAGCCTTTTTATATTTCCTTTTTTATATACTTAAGAAGGAGTTATGAGAGTTTATAAAATATTATTCATAAAACTATATAAAAAAA